AACAAGGAATCAGCACTCCATAGTAGGTGGATGTGCACAAGAACATCTCTCTATGTCCACTCCCATTTTTTCATTTTCTCACTTCAATAGAAGAAAGCATAACAAACAACTCTGTAATTTCTTCCCATCTTTCTAAAGTTTGGTCGACCTCCCTGACTTGATTCTATCATTGCCTCATGAACGATAGTCATTAATTACTCCTACCCTCCTCCATTTCGGGCCCACCCTTCTCTTTGGATACCTTCCACTTGGTCACTAAGAAGTTTCAAGGGATCTCACTCTTTCCTCAGCTCCACATTGATCTACAGTTTCCAACCATCTGGGTCTTATTGTTTTGTGATACTATTATGAAGACTCTTTTATACAAAAAGTCTACAGGTCTTTACTATTCCTTCATTGGTTACACTGGTAAATTACACTCTCAAAAGTCACCACTGCATGGCATGTTTACACCTCTGATGAAATGTGTTCTTTTCTTCTGAAAGTACTTGCAAAAATTCCCATACTCTTTTTACCTCATTACTGATTTTAAAACATCCACCATTCTTAGTAATAATGACACTGAATAAATGTTCCTAAGCATGTATTGCACCCTACAGACTTGTCTAAAGATATTATAAATATTAAACATTTAATCTGGATGCTTAATTATAAAGTAGATATTATTATTATCCCCATTTTGTAACTGAGAAAACAGGTTCAGATTAATTCATTCATTCAAGATTACACAGTTAGTGAATGATGCTCACAAGATTTAAATCCAAGAAATGTGATTCAAATCCTATTCACTTGCTCCCTAATCAATGATATCTTGTAATAATTTGTATCAGTATCATATATAGGGAGATCATATATAATGCTTTTACCAGACCTTCCAAATTTAGACTGTTCTTACTGCATAACTATTATAATGTCTATTTTCATGTTAAAAATGTCCTAATTTGGATGATGAGTTACACAGTCACACTAATTTTATAACCCCGTTTTTGTGCTCATCCTAAATCTACCATTTCCAGTGGGCCAATGATCTTTGTTAGGCACATAACATTTATATTTAGTAATCTTTAGAGCAATATGAGTGCAATTTCTTTATTTCTGTGTGAAAGCTGAGATTCAGGTAAAGATTAATTATCTCAATTAAGGCCATACATACAATATGTGGTTAAGCCAGGCAAGTTAAAACCATAGAGTGCCTGGCTCTAAAACCTCTTTTCTATGTTTTTGCTTCCTTTGCATTCTGGTCACTCTAGCACCTCTCCCTGGATATTTCAGGTAACACCTTGTTTTCTGCTGTATGGCGTTGGTCTGTAGTTGTACACATTCTTCAGTAATAAATGGGCTCTCCAACCAGACATTCCATGTCTCAATAATTTTTTGTATTCTCCAGAATTCAGGGCACTATTTGGCCAATAGAAAGCCGTTAGTAACTGTCTTTGTTTCTATGGGTTCCCTACTATGCACAGGTGTTAAATTTTAACTCCTATGATTCCTAGATTCAGCTTCTCATGTATTCATTTCACGTACTACTCTCCACTCTGATATAGTCAGACACAGTCTGCTGAACACAATTTCCACCCAATGATTAGAAAATGCAGTCCAATCACAAGCACACCTGCCCCAACATCCTCTGTTATAATTCGTTAGCAGTGGGTACCACCTCTTGCATTCAGAAAGCACCAACTCTTTCCTGATTTCTATGCTACACACACTGATTTTTTTTTCTTTTGGAAAACGGAATGTATTTCGCTTTTTTATGTTCATATACTGGAAGTGGGTTTAAAAAGCCTTTTTGATCCTCTGCGTAGTGGCTGACGGCAGGATTACATGGTTGGAAACCAGTGCATGATTTTAAACTCAGGGCTTACTGAACAATAAAACCACCTAAATATCTTTTAATAAACTCTGAGACTAGATCCCATTGTAGACCAATTATATCAGAATCTCTGAGCACTGGTGCTTTATTAAAGTCTTTCTTGAGTAATTCTAATATGGAGTCTGGTTGGAAATACCAACTCAAAAGGAATTTGTCCCCTCTCACACTTCTGAAACCATTTGGAAAGTATAGTCCAAGAGAATCTGAAAATAAGATGAAGAATCCATTCTATCACTATGGTCACAATCTGTGGATATTTATCATTGCTACTTATAGAATCTGTGCTTTTATGAATATGCAGAATCATGTTCTTCTTTGTTCTATGGAAGGTCCAGGGATGAATGTCTCATTTCGTCATTTGGTAAAGATTATTTACCTTTTTTCTGCTATCAAACCACTAACTACCTCTGAAGGAAGAAAGCCTTCACTCATGCTTCTGCCCTTAATACTGCTTCTGGCCTGTATACCTCTACTTCTCTTAGAGGAAAAAAGCCTTCCCATGTTTGTGAACACTTTCCACTGAGTTCTGCTCAAACTCCATGGATTCTAATCTTCAAGTCCTTCCCCACCCAAACTTGACTTCAGACCCCTACGTGCATATAAACACATATGAGGCCCTAGAATCAGCCCAATACTGATTCCCTATGGGTCACTGCTTAAGAGCCATTAAAACACCTGGAGGCTCATTCATTTTCCAATGTGGGCATCTATCAACACAAATGTTTGACATTTCACAATCTAGAGGATTGAAGTCAGAGGACCATCAGTTTGGGCAGAGCCTTTGTAATAAACTTTCTTTCTAGTTTTGTTGTCATCTGCTCTATCCTCACAATTTTCTCTATTCTAATTCCAGAAATTCTCCAGAAAGAAAAGAGAAAAAAAAAAAACTTCCAAATTTTATGCAAACTGTTTCTATGAAACAGCAATCACATTCTTTAGGTTTTGTAATTTAGGTCATTGTATTCAGAGATGATGTTTATATACTACAGTCTGCAACATATCTCTGATGTGTGCTACTATAATAAAATCAGCACAGTACTGGGAAAAGCCACAAAGCAAAACAAAATAAAGAAATAAAATGGACCTGAGGATCAGCAGAACAAATTACACACTAAGTCACTTTATGTTTGACAAAGGGGTCAAACATGCCCACTGGAAGAAAGATAGCTTCTTCAATAGATGGTGTGAGAAAACCTGGCTCTCTACAAGGTGAAGACCAAAACTAGACCAATGTCTATAACCACGCACTAAACTAAAGTCAAAACAGTTGAAGAATCTAAATATGGCAACAGAAACACTAAATCTACTGGAAGAGAAAGTAAATAGAAATCTTGAAGATATAGGTATATGCAGAAAGTTCATGAACCAAACCTAAACTGCACAAGAAATACTTCAAAAAATCAACAGCTAGGATCTCATCTTATTAAAAAGTTTTGGCACATCAAAAGAAATCACCAAAGCAGTGAAAAGAAAACACAGAGTGGGGAAAAGTTATAGCCAACTGTCCCTTAGACAAAGGACTTATATCTAGAACATATAAAGAATTGAAAAAATGAGATCCACAAAATTCAAAGACCCAATCTAAAAGTGGGCATTTAGAATGAATATGTATGTCTCAGATGAAGAAATACAAATGGCAAATAAATACATGAAAAAATGTTCAACATTATTGTTCATTCAGGAGATACAAATTAAAACAACCCTGACATTCCATTTCACTCCAGAAAGAATGGCTGTCATCAAGAAATCAACTATGACAAATGCTAGCTGGAAAAAAAGAAACCTTCATCACTGTTAGTGGGAGTGCAGACTGTACAATCACCACGGAAATCAGTGTGGAGATTCCTCAAACAACTAGGATTGGAGGTCTCACTCAACCCAGCTACTCCCTGTCTAGATATCTTCCCAGAAGAATAAAAACATCATACCATAGTGATATACATGCACCCATGTTTTTAACAGCACAATTTGTAGTAGCTAACTTTTGGGAACAAACCAAATGCCTACCAATAGAGGAATGAATAAAAAAGATGTGGTATTTTCATACAATAGAGTACCTCTCAGCTATAAAAAAGGATAAAGTCAAGACATTTATTGGTAAATGGATGCAACTTGAGACTATACTCGTAAGTGAAATAAATCAGACTCCCGTGTGTAAACACACGTGTAAACATTCTCCCTAGTGTGAGAAACTGAAAGAGTAAATAAGGTTTAAAATGTACCACAGATATTGTGAAATGGGAAGAAATTGTTTAAAAGGACAAAGGAACTAGGATGGGAGGAAGGGGAAAGGACGGCAGGGAAAAGGGAGAAAAAACACAAGTGAGTCATACTGTGAGTCTCTTAGTTCACAGAAAAGGAAAATTTGTGCTAATATGATTAGAGAATTTTTATGCCCATATCATATACTCTGAGTAATTACTTTAAAGGTAACTACTTTAAAGATAAAGATGTAATGAATTAACTATTGGTTTTCTCTTATTGTGTTGTTATGAAATTTTGTTTTAACTTTTTCCATAAAATAAAAAAAATTAAAAAGTAGTTTTCTTTCTTTTCTTCTGACTCCAGTAGTAAGGATGAGTGAGCATTGGAAAGCAATGTAACCTCATCCAAAAGCATTATCAAAATGGAAACATTTATGTGGAAGTCAGGGGTTGAGAGGAGAACAATTAGAATCAGGACACAGAATTTATAACATTATTTTATGATGGTCACTCAGAGTTAAACACAACAAAGTGCAGGAAATCTGTCCACAACACTAAAGACTAAGAATATTTAGCCAAAGGCATGGATCCCACAGCAAGGTGCTGCATGAGTCCAGATGAAAACCTAGAGCCCATGACAATGCCTCCCACAAGTCTAATGGAAGTCTACAGCCCACAAGGACTCACACCAGCCTGTATCACCCCTCTGTGCTGGGAAGGCCCAAAGGTCAGCAGTGGAAGCTAGAAAGTCTATATAGGCCAGCAGGGTGAAAGAGCTGTGATAGTAGATTGAGGATTCCACACTGGAGCTGAGAAGTCATACTCAAAACAAGGACCAGGGCTCCCCTGAAAAGCACCATAGTCATTCTCTTTGACACAGAGGTCCCAAGCTCCTCCAACTATAAGAACAGTCAAGTACATACCAGAGAGCCGGCATGACAAGTTTCTCCTGGAGACTAAACAGCAGATATCTTCCCCTCTGGAGCCAGGAAGCGATGCTTGATGAAAGACCAGAGTTCCCCCAAAGTGAATCACAGCCATTCTCATCAACAAGGTCCAGAGCTCGTCCAATGACAGTGGTTGAACTCACTGAAGAAGCTAGTCATGACAAGCTTCTCCAAGAGAACCAATGGCTTAAAACAGCAACACTTAGAGAAACCCATAACACCTCACTCATCTTCTCCATGTCTCTATGCTGGCAACTTTACTCAGGTGGAACATCTATGCTCAGCACCATGCTGAATTTAATTCAGCTGGTGTTAAATTGACCAACAGTTTTTAATCAATAACAGTCTACCCATGGTCAACTTAATAACCACACATATTTCCTTAAACTATAGTCTTTAGTGGCAGATATGTGAAAATTAACATTCAGATTTACATTAATACAACAATTACCTATATACAATTCTTTGTACACTTATTCCTGTACCAAAAACAAAATATTTATAGGGTGGCCACTGTTCAACATTAAACCACAATACTTTGATTAATTAATCTGGTTACAAATATAAAAACATTAAAATCAAACTAAAAGAATTCTAACCACAGTGCTTGTTTCCCATTAACTTTTAACGTAGCATGGCAAGAATGAAAAACAAGGATCTCCTGCAACTCAGATATACTTATTTTCAAGTAAAAGACTTAGACTTTAATTTATTTTTCCATTGTCCTGTTCTTCTAAACTATGTTCTCTGTGTCACCTTTGCAACCCGGAGTTGCACTGGAGCCTTCTTTCTGGCCAAATGTTTTAAATCACTCTACTGGCTCTTTGCTTTAAATTTCCAACATAGATCTATTCAGAAGCTCTCTGAAGTAACCATGCTATCATCCCAACAACAGACGGCACCGAAATTTTTTCTGCCACCAAATAACGTTTCTAAATACAAACAAACTGAAGACCAACTTTTAGCCCAACACAACATATTACCTGAACTCCAGCAACCACTGCAGTCCTTCTCAACAGAAGCCTCCTAAGCTTCATCTTAACCAGCAGCATTTCCATCAGTACTCTGATTTTCCTTGTTCTGACCAGAGTCTCCAATATAGTTTACAGCATACAAAGTCTTTTTGCCAGTCTCTCAAAATTAATTGCCAAGGTTCTTAAGTCACATACAGCAATAACTCCATTCTCGGTATCAATCTCTATCTTAATTTCTTTTTACTTGTTGTTGAGACAAAACACCTGACGCCCAAAGTTAGGTAAGGAAAGGTTTATTTCTTACAGCTCTTGGAGGTTTCAGTCCATGCTCAAGGCAGTGTGGTGTGGTGGGGCAGCCATTAATGGCTGCTGCAAATAGCAAAAGCCAATACCAAAAGCTCGAGACACACCTTCTTCCCTGCCATTACATCATATGCTGGCTCCAGATTGGGTGTAGCACTCACACCACCAGTCGGAGAGCTAGACAACAAACCAATCACACATGCTAGATTTGGTCAGTCCATAACTCATGAGGCTTGGGGGACACTGATATAATGCCATGACAATGTGGTTCCCTAGCTTTTGTTGTAAGTGGACTTTGCAGACAGAAATATTCTGTTTCTGTTTTATTTAGCACAATTCTCTAGCATTGTTCAGACTGGGAAGTTATGGAGAACCCTGTTGAGCAACTAAGTGCCTTTAACATGGATTCTGGAGTAACTGCTTGGAAAGGATCAAGAGAAAACCTGGCCTCTCTTCCTTAATAACAGTAGGGTCCTGGCTGGGAGCTTTTGTGTATTGCAATAGGCAGAACCGAGCTGTCTGCATGGATGGGCAACAACTTATTTCCTTTTCTAAACCTGAATTCAAGCTTCAAACCTCCTGTTAGGCTAAAGAGTGGCAAAATAAGGGAATATAAAAAAGCTCATTTCCAGCAATGACCTTTGCTGAAGTGTCACCAAATTACTTAAGTGGCTTACAGGTCACTGGCAAGGGAAGCTGGGCAGTCATAACCCAGTAATCCCATTTACCCAGGCAATCCTAGGTTCGCTGGCTCAATAAAGAGAGACATGCATTTAGGCAGAATTATAAAAATCACCATCATGTTCCTCAGAGGGCTTACTCCCAATTATGCACGCCTTCTGGTGCCATCACTGAGTTCACCTCCTAGAGCACGCTCAGCTGGGCATGATAATTATGTCTATGTTCTAAAAATGGGGTAGGAGACAGTCTGAAAGATCCATATTTCATATTAATACCCAATTACATCTGGGAGGGTTTTTTTCTTGGTCTAAAAAGTACTGGTGATGAAGGTTAATGATTTAATTAAGTCCACTGTGAATCCCTGCGGCAGCCCAGCTATCCCTCTGAACTCAGAGGCTCACACAGTTAGCAGAAGACACTGGGAGAAAACATTTGCAGAGCAGAAGCTTTTTAGCTGATGATACAATCACATCATACACTAATGCCACGGGTTCTTGGAGTTGCAAAGAGAAAGTGTTTCCCATTGCTAAGGCTCAGGTCACTCCTCTGGTGAAGAATGAGACTCCGGGTGATCCACAGGAAAATCAAAACTCTTCTCTTTGATCAGAACAACAAATCTCTCAGCAATGTACTGCTGCACTTTGAATCAAGCAATTCAGGGTTTTGCAGCCTGTGAGATACTAAAGGGTAGCAGAAGGCTTAGGTACTGGTTTCTCTGTCCATGTGGCACTCAGTTGTATAAGCGCTGAGTGCTTATCTAATGAGTAAATGGTACAAAGCAACTTGATCACAAATCCTAGTTCTGCTGCTCACTTCCTGTGTAAGCAACCAGTTCATTTGCTCATTCTAGTCATTTGTCCAATGCTTCTCATTGTGTGCCTCTCATTATTAAGCACAAGGACTTGGCAATTACTAGTGAAAATGGTCATAGATTTCTATCTTCCTGATCCTCACATTTTAGAGAAAGAAGAAGTTACAAGAAACGTACTATGTGAATTATATAGTGTACCAGAAGGACCAGGGGATGAAAAGAAAAAAGATAGGATTGGAAATGGCACCAGAGATGAAAGGGCCAGCGTGTTGCAATTTTGAAACGTGAGGGTGTTTCAGACATCACTGAGAAGTTGCCCTCCGAGGAGAGACATGGGAGGTGGCAGATGCAGGCAGCAGACAGCTGGGGAAGAACATTCAAGGCAAATGAAAAGACCTCATAAGATTTTACAGCTCAAACCCAGAAACAGCTGGTATGAGCATGTGGCAGGAGCAGGGGGAGCTGAACAGGAGGAGAGGAGATCTGAGATGGGACCTCATCTAATCATGTAAAACCTTTGAGCCACTGTGAGAATTGTGATGCTGACTGTGGGTAAAATGGAAATCATCTCATGCTTGGAGTAGAAAAGATCTAACTTAAGTTTGTAAAAAGTGCTCTCTGTCTGCAGGACATAGCAGATTATTACTGAAGACTCTTCCATTTCTTCAACAAAGAGATGATCCTGTGATGTCAATTAAGTTCCACTGCAAAAATCACTGTACTGGGGCACGAGGTGAGTTGTTTTCAAAATCTCTTTCCCTGATGTCTGAAATTTCTGTTTGAAGTGATGAACAACATCCACCCGAATTCAGTACAACTGCATGGCACTGCTTTCCTGTCACTAAGCCTTTTGAGAGCTCCCACAGCACCCCACATGCAGTTCTTTGGCTGATACTCATGTGATCCCCACCACTGTCACCACATTAGACTGCATGGGCCAGACAAAGTGACATCTCTAACCCCGACTCACCCAGGTCTTCCATTCCTTCCCTCAGGCAGCCCCATTCAGCTTCATTAATCATGTCCATAGTTACACTATTTTCTATCTGTTCATCGGACTAGCTAATCCTTACCTCCTCTCCTCTTCTCCGAGCCCAGGGTAATTGCTAAGAGTACGTTAGACTATGTGACTGCAGAAAAAGTCATAGTGTCCACTATTATTAATTAATGGTATCTGCATTCTAAATCACTCTTTCAATATTAAAATATGCTTTTTATTTTATACATGTCCAGAATACTATAATTCTGAGAAGTTTTCCACCTTTGCTTGATCTTACAGTTTCCAAAATTTTCTTTACCAGTAATTTGGTGTAGTGTTAGTACAACGAAATTTGAGGGATGAGATATTTTCTAGCAGTTCTGAGAGACTGTCTCTGCCTGGTAATCTTAATTATCAATAGAATTGCTAATCTCCTAGAGAGGTGATTGGATTATGTGGGTGATATTCTGATCAGTGAGTTGAAACACTGATATTCATAGCTAAATGTGCTGTTAGGAAGTGGGTTTCAGTTGAAAGTGGTTATACCTGTCCCACGCACTGTCCCTTTCTGCATTGCTTCCCAGCCACCATGAAGGGAGCCACTTGCTCCACCCTTCCCTTCTGTCATGCAGCTTCTGCCTTGGAAGCATGCAACCATGGACTTGAAACTTCTGAAATCATAATCTAAATAAATCTGATCCTCTCTACATCATAGGCATCAGGCATTTTATCCCAGCAATGGGAAACCTGACCAATATGCTGTCTTACAACAAGCTATAACTTCTAGTTAAATTTTGACAAAATCTAGAGGTATGACTTACGCATCAAGGTATCTGAGATGATATAAAACTGTGGGTTCCTTACTTATGATGGCACAAAAATTCTGTGGTAAAATTTCCATACAGAATGCATTATGTCCGAAGTGACACTTTGATTTCTGAGTTATACACAAGGTACATTAGTAATATTTCATTAACACACATCTGTATTTTGCCCCACTTAAATTGTACACATACTTTGAAGGTAAAATTTCTTCCAGTGGGATAGTTTCTCATGAAATTTTCCTGAGAACTATGAACTTTCATCTAATAAGAATCATTAGATATAATATAAGCTATAAAAATTCTGAAACTTTTATATAAACAACCGGTGCTCATTGTTAGCAAGATACTATAACTCATTAACATCACTAATGCCCCAAATATTTATTTTTATATATAAATTTAATTTTATCATGTATTTTTTATTATTAGATTTCAATTTTCCTATCAGATAATAAAATTCAGGAGACCACCGAATTATATGTTGAGACTCTTTGTTCTATTTTCTCTGGAAGAAATCAGTTATACAACAGAAATATGGCAAAGATTTTATTTTTTTTTTGTCCTAACTCATCTGGGGACTAAAAGTGAGTGAAGGAATTTCTTAGCACCTATCTGTGAGTAGTCTGTTTTCTACTGCTGAGTCTTCCC